GCGGTGGAGGCAGCGGTGGAGGAGGTGGAGGAGGTGGAGGTGGTGGTGGGGGTGGTTCCGGGAGTGGGGGCGTCGGTGGCGGCAGTGGAGGCCGTGGCGGCGGTGGCGGAGGCGGTGGCGGAGGAGGTGGTGCTGGTCGCGGTGCGGCCACGCAGCGTGGAGGCCTTGGTGGCAGCCAGCGTCAGCAGCAGCTGCGCACCCGTGAGACCCCGTCTGTTCAGCAGCTTCGTGAGTGGTACGCTGGGCGTGGGAGGTCTGGGGGTGCAGGTCCCTGCACGTACGTTCTTCACACCGGCACTTGTAGTGGGGAGGTGTGAGGTCTCCCACACACCACGCAGCGCTGCTTCGGTTGCTTGACTGACGCCTGGCGTACCCAGTTTCCTGACGCTAGTGATCTTCCTCGTTGGCATGATCTGCTTTTGCAGAATGTGCCTATCTTTGATCTAGACTTTGATGCTATCCTTGCTGCCATGTATGCTCTTGCTGATATTACTGAGGGTGACTGTTACCTGCGTGTCCCGCCCGACCCGGGCACTGTGGCTGCTGCTCTAGGTGCTAGTGCGTCTGTTGCTCCAGGTGCTTGTGCGGCTGCTGCTCTAGGTGCTAGTGCGCCTGCTGCTCCAGGTGTTGGTACGTCTCCTCTCTCTGGTACTACACCTACTGCGTCCTTTCACACTTTCACACTTGACTCTGGTGCTTCGCGCTCTTTCTTTAGAGACAGCACCACGCTCACGCCGCTCAGTCGGCCTGTTGCGGTCTCCCTTGCTGACCCCTCAGGGGGCCCAGTACTTGCACACTCCTCCACTGTCCTACCATGTCCTGCGGCCCCGTCGGGCTTGCTGTCGGGACTCCACCTCCCCTCGTTCTCTACGAACCTGGTGAGTGGAGCTGACCTCCAGGACGCGTGGGTTGACCAGTTCACCCCTGGAGGTCAGCGTGTGACCCACTGCACTTGCTCTCGGACGGGCCGTCACCTGGCCACGTTCACCCGTCGGCCAGGGTCGAGTCTGTACACACTGACTACTGCGCCTCCTCCCGTCTCTGCGTCTGGTCAGGTAGCTGCGTCCAGTCAGGTGTTTGCTGCCGCGTCCAAGTCTCGTCCTGCGTCTGCCCCCTGCTTGTGTCGCCCTTTGGCACACGAGACTCTCCTTTGGCACCACCGCCTTGGTCACCCCTCCCTGCCTCGTCTTCGAGGTATGGCCTCCCGTGCCCTTGTCTCGGGCCTACCCAGGTCCCTCCCTCCCCTTCCTCAGGGGCCTGCCCCCACCTGTGTTCCTTGTGTCGAGGGCCGGCAGCGCGCCGCCCCTCACTCCTCCTCGTTTCCTCCGACTGAGGCTCCTCTGCAGACTCTTCACATGGACGTGTGGGGCCCAGCCCGCGTCCGTGGACAGGGTCACGAGCGCTACTTCCTCCTGGTCGTTGACGACTACTCGCGTTACACCACAGTCTTCCCCTTGCGCAGCAAGGGTGAGGTCCCTGGGGTGTTGATCGACTGGATCCGCGGTACTCGTCGCCAGCTCCGTGAGAGTTTCGGCTCAGACCTTCCTGTTCTGCGTCTGCACTCGGACAGAGGCGGGGAGTTTTCCTCCGACCTCCTGAGAGCCTTCTGTCGTTTGGAGGGCATCCACCAGACGTTCACGCTTCCGGCCTCCCCGCAGCAAAATGGAATTGCTGAGCGCCGCATTGGCATGGTCATGGACGTCGCTCGTACGTCCATGATCCATGCGGCTGCTCCCCATTTTCTGTGGCCGTTCGCGGTTCGGTACGCGGCGCATCAGATCAACCTTCAGCCTCGTGTCTCCTTGCCGGAGACCACACCTACTCTGCGGTGGACGGGGAAGGTTGGCAATGCGTCCGCGTTTCGTGTCTGGGGATCTCGAGCTTTTGTCCGCGATACTACTGCGGACAAGCTGTCCTCCCGTGCCGTTCCGTGTGTCTTCCTTGGCTTCCCTCCTGACGCACCCGGGTGGCAGTTCTACCACCCCACCTCGCGTCGTGTTCTGTCCTCTCAGGACGTCACGTTCGACGAGTCGGTGTCGTACTACCGTCTCTTTCCCTTCCGCACTGCCTCTCCCCCCCCCCCGCCGCTCTTCCTTGCACCAGGTACTCCCCTGGTAGACCCCCTTCCCCCCCAGGGTCCTGCCCCCTCAGGTGTGTCCCAGGTAGACCCTGCCGAGCCGGTCGAGGTAGCTGTCGACTCAGGTGCTGCTAGGGGTGCTGAGACTGGGGGTGCTGAGACTGGGGGTGCTGAGCCTGGGGGTGCTGAGTCTGGAGGTGCTCTGGGTGTCCCGTCGCGGCGGGAGCCCCTCTCTCCACAGCGGCTTCGTGAGTGGTACTCTCGGCGCTGTCGAGGTGCTGCTGGTGCTGGAGGTGCGACTGGAGCTGCTGGAGGTGCTGGTGCTGCTGGAGGTGGTGCTGGTGCTGGAGCTACTGGAGGTGTTGCTGGTGCTGTAGGTGCTGGAGGTGCTACTGGGGCTACTGGAGGTGCTGGTGCTGCTGGAGGTGGTGCTGGTGCTGGAGCTGCTGGAGGTGTTGCTGGGACTGGAGACCCTGGGGCTGAGGGTACCGGTTCTGTCTCTGCTGTTTTTCGAGGCGCTGCGCGGCCGCGGCCGTACTACGTTCCGCTCCTTCAGCAGGTTCTTGGCTCACCGCCTTCTCCTGGTCCTCCTCCTCCTTTCCTGAGTCCACCGCCTGTCCAGCCCCAGTCGCAGCTGCAGCCGGCCTCTCCGCTGCCTGGTCCTTCTCCTTACTCTGGTCCGACTAGAGGTCTTACGGAGCGTCGTGAGCCTGAGTCTCGTCCTGTGTCACCTGAGTCTCGTTCTGCGTCGCCTGTCCGTCCTGTTCGCGCTGGTCGTGTTTCGCGTCCGCGTCTTCCTCCTGTCCCAGGCACTCACTCTATGACACTGCGTCCTTCCACTGCTCCACAGCGTGTCCCTCTGCCCTCTCCTCCTGCGTCCTCTCTTCCTGACGGTCCGGACCCGGAGTCTGACTCCCTTCGTGCTGCTAGTCCTACTGTCACGCGCTTTCTGGCCACTGCTGTCACTGACCCTCTGTTTGAGTCCTCTGCTGCATCTGCTCTTGTTGCTGAGCTTGTTGACTTTGATGTAGCCTGTCGCCTCGACTACGCCGCTGGTCTTGTTGCTGAGTTTGCGTCTGCGTCTGTCTGTCCTCCGTCCGTCGGGGGTGAGTGTGCTCTTAGCACGGACGTCCTTGAGGACAGACAGGAGGACCTTGAGTTTTTTGCTGCTGCTTCACCTCATCTCGTGTCCATGCTGCTTGCCCCTGAGGGAGACCCGGATGCACTAGACATCCCGACCCCGCGCTCTTACGCAGAGGCGATAGAGGGTCCCTACTCCTCTCAGTGGCAGGCAGCCATGGACGCAGAGATGGCTTCCTGGAAGTCCACAGGCACCTACGTAGACGAGGTTCCCCCACCTGGGGCGAACATCGTCAGTGGCATGTGGATCTTCAGTGTGAAGCGGCCGCCGGGTTCTCCGCCTGCCTTCAAGGCGCGTTACGTTGCACGCGGCTTCAGTCAGCGACAGGGAGTTGACTTCTTTCAGACCTTCTCCCCTACCCCGAAGATGAGCACTCTTCGGGTACTGCTGCACGTTGCTGCTCAGCGTGACTACGAGCTCCACTCGCTTGACTTCAGCACAGCCTTCCTACAGGGCAGCCTGCACGAGGAGATCTGGCTGCGCCGCCCACCTGGCTTCACTGGGTCGTTTCCCGCTGGTACCCAGTGGAGCCTCCGGCGGCCAGTCTACGGTCTCCGCCAGGCGCCCCATGAGTGGCACGACACGCTCAGGACGACTCTTGCTGCTCTTGGTTTTGCTCCTTCCACTGCTGACCCTTCTCTGTGTCTACGCACTGACGCTACTCTGCCGCCGTTCTACGTTCTTGTGTACGTAGACGACCTTGTCTTTGCTACTGCTGACACGGAGGCACTCGCCCTCGTGAAGTCCGAGCTGCAGAAGAGACACACGTGTACAGACCTGGGTGAGCTCACAAGCTATCTTGGCTTGCGGATCACCCGGGACAGAGCACAGCGCACCATTACCTTGACTCAGTCACACATGGTGCAGCAGGTCCTTCAGCGCTTCGGCTTCACCTACTCCTCGCCACAGTCCACTCCTCTGCCTACCGGTCACTCGCTCTCAGCTCCACCTTCGGACGAGTCCGTAGAGCCGAGTGGCCCGTATCCAGAGCTTGTGGGCTGCCTCATGTACCTGATGACTTGCACACGACCTGACCTCGCATACCCTCTCAGCCTTCTGGCTCGCTACGTGGCTCCCGGCAGGCACCGAAAGGTGCACTGGGATGCTGCGAAGAGGGTGTTGCGATACTTGTGCAGTACATCGGGCATGGGGCTCGTGCTTGGAGGACGGGCTCGAGTTGTCCTCACTGGTCACGCTGACGCCTCCTGGGTTGACGACTTGGCTACGCAGCGGTCGTCACAGGGTTACACCTTCAGCCTTGGCTCCGGTTCTGTCTCCTGGCGGTCTACCCGCTCTTCTTCTGTTCTCAGCTCCAGTTGTGAGGCTGAGATCTACGCTGGGGCCATGGCTGCACAGGAGCTTCGCTGGCTCACCTACCTGCTGACCGACTTGGGAGAGGCGCCTCGTTCTCCTCCAGTTCTGTACGTCGACAACAAGGCCATGCTGGCCTTGTGTCAAGAGCACAGACTGGAGCACAGAACGAAGCACATTGCTCTGCGCTACTTCCTTGCTCGAGAGTTGCAGCAGCGTGGCCAGCTTCGTCTTGCGTACGTGGCCTCTCAGGCCAACACTGCTGATGTTTTCACCAAGGCACTTCAGCCTTGTGATCATCAGCGTTTCTGTACTGTGTCAGGCCTTGTACCTACTGTGCCTCACTTGTTGACTTCTTGACTCTGCTTGTACTGTACTCTATATACATATACCTGCATGCTTACACTTGCTAGGTTGTGTTCACTGTACTGTTTGCTTTCCTTTATAAAACTCTGCATGTGAACTAGCCGTATGGCCCTTTGCTTGTGCTCAGACTGTGTGGTGAGTTTGTGATCCACCCTGAGCTTGCTTTGCTTTTCTTGACTGGTCTTGTGACCTCTTGTTCTCCCCCACTTTGCCTATGGGGGTGTGTCAAACTTATATCTACTATGGTCTATTTAGGCAGTAGTGGGGTAGCTCTTAGAGGGTACAACACTTATGTGTTTTCTATTTGTACCCATCTCACTTTCTAGTTTATTCATTCTTTCGTCAAACCTTCTCACATATTCAACCCCTTGACGTCTCCATCAACAACTTCAGCGCTGTTTTCTTTCCATGACTCTAACGGCTCACTACCCCTGCCTCTATCCCACTCGCAGGGAACCTGCGGCGGCCTCCGCACCCCGTGGTGCTGCAGCGGATCGCGGAGGTGTGGGATCAAGTCCCCAAGAAGGTCATCATTGAAGCGTTCCGCCACTGTGGGATTTTAAGCAAGCTGGACGGGACGAAGAACTACCTGGTGATGTCTCACCTGCGCGCCAGGAGCACCACCGATGTCTCCGAAGACATGTGCCTCGAGGGAACCACGGGCGACAATACGCGCCTGATTGGGCGGGCTCCAGAGGAGGAGGAGGAGGAGGAGATGCAGTTGGAGGGCGTGAGGGAGGTGGTAGTGGCAACCGGCCTGGATGTGTTGTACCAGGAGACCCCCAACTACCGCGGAGCGGCGGCTGAGGCTGACCGCATGATCGAGCCTAGGGAGACGGCTAGGCATGCCTGGCGAGTGCCAGACCTGGGTGTAAGGGAGCCTGCTGTTAGTGCAGGTGAGGATGCCATGACTGAGTTGGGCTAGGTAGAAGTAGAGATTCATAGGTAGATGTATGCATGTACCCCCCTAAAGTAACTAATGTTCGTTTAGAAGACAACCCCCTGTTTATAAGAAAACCCCTAACCCCTGCTCTAATTATAAGACATATGTCTTAACTCGTTCACACAAATAGGTGTCTTATAATGAGGCTAGCCTGTTTATAAGAGACACCCGGATAATAGACAACCCCTATCTACTATTCAACACTGTCTACTATCCTGGCAATGACGGTAGGTTGAAAATGCACTGACAAGTCGAATTTGGCCTTCCTGGAGGAATTTGGCGTGGAAGGTCAAGAATGAATTTACTTGTCGGTCCCACTTGTTGTAACAAGAAATGAGAGATTGTACCGTCATCGCCCGGATATAAGACATATATATCTTATCTTATACATTATAAAAAATGCTTGGGTTGTCTTGTATTTGGGACGATTTTGGGTGTCTTATAAGTCTTATGAATGGGAAAAAATAAAATAACAGCGTAACATTTGCAAAGTGTGTAGAAACCGCCTAGGGGCCAGATTCATTGAATTTGGCCGGCCTCGGTGGTGATGCATGCGTCGCCAGCACATGCCACGTGAGGGATGCAGCAAAGCTGCCTATGTTGGCAACATCCCTCCGTGCTGGTAGCATCCAATGATGCTGCCAGCGTCGTTTTGCTGCCAGCAGCGCATGGATGCTTCCATAACGCTGCTGGCAGCACGATGGCAGTGTGAGGGCTGTCATGTGCTGTCCTCTACGAGGAGATTCCTCGTAGAGGAGCGCCTCGGCAGCCTTTGGAAGGGGCACTCTGGCTGGGGGGGGGGGGTAGTCGGGCTTGAGCTTCATTTGGTGCTCAAGAAGGTTGAGATTAGCTCAACCTTTGCTCTCAGCAGGCTCAACCATGTGCAGCAAAGTCTCTGTAGGCACCGTCTCCTCTCGCCCTCACTTCCAGGTGAACAACTACGGGCGAATCAACTCGCCCGGTGATGATATCCGTGTAGCCATGGCGAAGGATACGCACAAGGCGAGATGCTCTACCGCCGCCTCTGGTGCGAGCTGTGACAAAGAGGACGGCGAAGAAGAACACAGCGACGGCGGCGAGGAGGATTTGCCGGAGAACGGCCACGACGACAGCGCGTCGGGGGATGAAATCCCTGCTGGCGACATCGACGACGACGAATGGTGGAGACAGCCTCTTGGCGAGGACGACGAGGTGGAAGAGTGGCGGGCTGGTGACTCGGACAACGACGTAGCCGCGGATGCTGATGGTGAGCACGTTGAGGCAGCGGCGCATGCAATGGATCAAGCCCCTGCAGCGGCGATGGCGGAAGATGTGCCTGCGGGTGCGAAGGTGGATGCGGATGCGGATGCGGTTGCGGATGCAGACGACGAAGCGGAAGCGGAAGCGACGACCGAAGCGGAGGCGGAAGCGGATGCGGTTGCTGCCGCGGATGTGGAGGCAAATACGGGTGCGGATGCGGAGGCGGAGGCGGATGCGGATGCTGTGAAGGGAGGTGCTGATGCAGTCTTCTTCGACGGTGAAGAAGAGGAAGATGACCCGTGGAGCATCACGGCGGACGACGACGTGCCTCTGCTAAAGCGGAGGCTCCGTCATCGCCTTCATCCCAAGAAGCGAGCCCGTGTGGTGATCTCCGATGATGACAGTTTGAGGGAGGAGCGTCAACCGCGCCTCACTCCTGCAGACAAAGGAAAGGCCAAGGTCGCGGAGGTACCTGCTAAGGCCACTGTACGTCGCCGCACAAGCAACAAGAAGTAGAAGAACGACGGCGACGTGGGTTCCAGCATGGGTGCTGCCAAGAAGAAGAAGAAGACTCCAAACAAGGACGACATCGTGGTCAACGAGGTGCTCGGTAGCGACGATGAATACGCGGAGGCTGCAGGCCCGATTCCTTCCTTCCCTGAGAAGGCGAAGCCGAAAGACCCCACCCTCTGTAATCCCAACTCCCGTCCCCCTTCCCCTCGCAGCAAGGATACTAAGAAAACGAGGCGCGGATGGACCGTACGCGAGAAAATCAAGTGGGCGCACCGCTACCAGGAGCTCGGCTCCCTCATGAAGACCTCCGTGGAATCCACTACGTCCATCGCCTGCATCAGACGGTGGAGCGCGGAGGCTGCGCGGGCCTTTACAAGGGAGCGGCGAACTGCCGCAAGCGGATGCACGGGGCGGGCCGCCACTCACACTACCCCGACATGGAGGCGGCTTTGTACCGCTACATATGCATGCAACGCGCGAATGGGGTGGCGATCACGGTGAAGTACACGCAGAAGTGGAGCCGCGAGTGGATGAAGAAACACCACTCCGGGAAGAACTGGAACACGATCTCACACTAGAGCCAACGGTTCCGTGACCGCTGGAACTTAGTCATGCGGGTGAAGACCAAGGTCGGCCAACGGCAATCGGCAGGTGAGTGGTTAAGGGAGTGAATCCGCACTTGATTCTTGACTGTATGTGCCTAGAAATCTAATCACCTCTCATGTTTCTACCCATCCCCTCCTGCTGTGCGGTGTTTTTCCTGCGCAGAGTGCACTAAGGACTGCGAGTCATTTTGGAAGTTCGTGCGCATCAACAGGGCGCGGCACAACATCGACCCGGCCCGCATCATCAGCGCATGTCAGAATGTCATAGTGCTTACATTTGTGTAGGCTATAGTGGGGTAGCCCATAAGGAGTACAACCCAATTAGGGTTCGTACTTGTACCCAACTCTTTCATAGTTCATTCATTCTTGTTCGTTAGTTTGACATGGTTTCAGAGCAGGTCCTTCGTTAGGACCGATTTTGTTTTGGGCCCACCACAGCGTTGCCCTACTAGCCGCCCTGCTGCCCCTAGCGACCCTCGTGCCGCTCCTGCTGCCCCGCGCGCCGCCCTCGTGTGGCCTGTAAGTCGACCCTAGGCCCCGCGCGCCCCGTCGACCCTAGGCCCCGGCCCGCCCCGTCGACCCTAGGCCCGCGCGCCTCGTCGACCCTCGGCCACTACCCGCCCCGTCGACCCTAGGCCCGCGCGCCCCGTCGACCCTCGGCACCTACCCGCCCCATCGACCCTAGGCCCGCGCGCCCCGTCGACCCTAGGCCTCGGCACGCCCCGTCGACCCTAGGCCCCGGCGCCCCATCGACCCTAGGCCCCGGCGCCCCCCGTCGACCCTAGGCCCAGGCCCACCCCGTCGACCCAAGGCCCCGCGTGCCCCATCGACCCTCGGCCCCGGCCCGCCCCGTCGACCCTAAGCATGCGCGCCCCGTCAACCCTAGGCCCCGGCCCGCCCAGTCGACCCTAGGCCCCGGCCCGCCCCGTCGACCCTAGGCCCCGGCGTCCCCCCCGTCGACCCTAGGCCCCGGCGCCCCCCCGTCGACCCTAGGCCCCGGCCCGCCCAGTCAACCCTAGGCCCCGGCGCGCCCCGTCGACCCTAGGCCCAGGCCCGCCCAGTCGACCCTAGCCCGGCCCGCCTGTCGACTTCAGGCCCCGGCCCGCCTCTTGCCCCTAGGCCCCGGCCCACCCGTCAACCCTAGGACCGGCCCGCCCTTCGCCCCTAGGCCCCGGCCCGCCCGTAGACCCCAGGCCCCGCACGCCGCCCATTGCGGCCCGCCCCTCGCCCTTGCAGCCCGCGAGCCGCCCTTGCAGCCCCGTGCGCCGCCCCTGGTGGCCCTCTAGCCGCCCTTGCTGCTCTGCTAGCCGCCCCTTGCGGCCCTCTTGCCGCCCCTAGGCCCGCCCGCCGCACCTAGGCCCTCGAGCCGCCCCTCTTGCAGCCTACGCACCACATCTTGCAGCCTGCTTGCCGCCCCTTGCTGCTGCCTGCCCTGTTTCCTGCGCTGCCTGGCCTCTGCCCACCATGCGTGCTGCGCCACTATGGCTTCTCTCCGCGTGCTCGCGATCAATCATGAGGGCCGCCCTATTCAGTTCGACACGTGGCTCGACGACCTGCAGCTGTACCTACTGAGCGACTCTAGGGACAGCGTTTCGTTGTTTGACCACACGTCTGGCGCCGCTCCCGCCCCTCCCGCCTCAGGTGACAGTGCGACTCGCTCACAGTGGCTTACTCGTGACGCTGCTGCTCGCTTAGCCATTCGCAACCACCTGCCGTTAGCCGAAGGCGCTCACTTCGGACAGCACAGGACAGCACAGGCACTGTACGACGCTGTAGTCGCCCGTTACGCCTCGCCTGCCACTGCTGCTCTAGGTCGTCTTCTACTGCCCTACCTGTTTCCCGAGCTGTCCGCCTTTACCACAGTAGAGGACCTGGTTTCCCACCTTCGCGCAAACGATGCTCGCTACAGTGCTGCCACCCCAGCTGAGTTCATTGACAAGAAACAGCCCCCGATGTTCATCACTCTCTACTTTATAGTCACCCGCCTCCCTGACTCTCTTCGCTCTGTCAGGGACCACTTTCTCTCACTTGACCCCACAATCCTCACTATTGACCTATTCGAGCAGCACCTCCCTGCAGCTGAGACTAGTGTAGTCACTGTAGGTGCTGCTCGTGGCACTATGCGCATGCCCTTCTTTGAGGGGTGCTCCCCCTCCCCCCTTGCCCCCTCCTACGCCTCTGCTGCTGCTGTTGACGTCCTTGGTGCTGAGGACGTCGTGGCTGCTTCTGCTAGTGCGAAGCGCCGCAGCAGCAAGGGCAACGGTGGCAAGGGTGGAGGCGGTGGCATCGGGGGTGGTGGTGGGGGCAGTGGAGGTGGTGGAGGCAGTGGAGGTGGTGGCGGTAGTGGGAGTGGTGGCGGGAGTGGGGGCTTTGGTGGAGTCGGTGGTGGCAGCAGTGGGGGTGGCGGTAGTGGCGGCAGTGGGAGTGGTGGCATTAGGGCTGGAGCTACTCACTGTGGAGGTTCAGGAGGTGGCCAGAGGCAGCAGCAGCAGCGTCGGAGTGAGACCCCATCGCCCCAGCAGCTTCGTGAGTGGTTTTCTCAGCATGGGGCGTCTGGGGGTAGAGGTAGCTGGCTGTATGTCATTCACACGGGTGACTGTGCCGGTCAGACGTGCGGGAAGCCTC